TGACCATATATGTCCCCGGGCCGCGGCTGGCGCTGCTGCGGAGGGCGTGGCCTGGCCTGGCAGGGAGCCCGGGCCAGGGCCAGCGGCTCTTCCTTTTTCTGGGCACACTCGCGTTTTCCCTCCGAAAGGCCTGTGGCTGCCAGGCGCTGCCCGCGGGGGGCTGCTGGCCTCAAAGCGAAGTGGTGCCTCTGGTACTGGTGACGGCTGTGGCCCCGAGGCCTTGCCAGGCTGCCCGGCGGCTCCCTCCGGCTCTTGGCTCTCTGGGCGCTTTTGAGTCTCCACGCCTAGCCCTGTTCTCTTTAAAGGAAGCCTTTTGATGTGATTCTTCTAAAAACCATTTTAAAAAAATACATTATTATTGATTCAGAGAGGTAGGGGGAGAGAGAGAGAGAGAGAAACATCAATGATGAGAGAGAATCATGGATCCGCTGCCTCCTGCACGCCCCCTCCTGGGGATGGAACCCGCCACCTGGGCATGTGCCCTGACTGGGAATCGAACCGTGACCTCCTGGTTCATAGGTCGACGCTCAATCACTGAGCCACGCCGGCCGGGCTTAGGAACCATTTTTAAAGCGGCAGAGATGAAAGCAGCATGGGCAGCCTTTGGCACAGGCCCGCTGTGGAGGTGATGCGGAAACGCCAGGGAAGAGCAGGGAGGATGCTGGCTTTCCACCGGCGCAGTTCTCGGCAGAAAGGCCTTCCAGGTGCTCTGGGGGCCGAGGGCAAGCCGCCGAGGGGGCCGTGTGGGGTGAGCGGTCATCACTCCTTGGCCACGTTCGCTGATCGCGCGGACCTGCTGGTTAGGGCTGATCCCACCGGACAGTGCGAAGTTCAGTAGCAGCAGTTGATGAGAGCAGAAAATACAGCCGGTTAGCTGTGGATCAGTGGTGAGAGCGTTGGCCTGCGGACTGAAGGGTCCAGGGTTCAATTCCTGATCAAGGGCATGTACCTGGGTTGCAGGTTCCATCCCCGGCCTTGGTCGGGGTGCGTGTGGGAGGCAACCAATCGATGTGTCTCTCTCACATCAATGTTTCTCTCTCCCCCGCCTCCCACCCTTCCACTCTCTCTAAAAAGCAGTGGAAAAAATATACTTGCGTGAGGATTAAAGAAAAAACAGCAGGTTAGAGTGGCAGCAAACAGTCCCGCTTCCTGTGTGCTAAGTAAGCCCCTTGTTCTCTTTTTCCCATTGCATCTCCCACACCGTTTCATGAGGTAAGCCCTCCCGGTCCCCATTCTGCAGATGAGGAAACTGAGGCCCAGAAGGAGGAAGCATCTTGGTCGAGGTTGTGAACTTCCCATCACATGGGGGAGAAAGGCAGACTTTCACCCGGCTTCTCGCTGACCCCTTCCTCCTCTCTGGCCCGGCCCCGGTCCAGCCCGGCTGTGTTTCCTGGACTTGGGCCCCTTCCTGCCCTGGGGCCTCTGTACGCTCGGGCCCTCGCCCCGAAGGCTCTTCCGCCGCCCTTTCTGTATGACTGCCTCCACCTCGACTTTCAGGTCTCAGCTCGACTGTCTCAACTTGTTCTTTCTGACCAGCCCGGGTTAAGTTGTCACCAGTCACGTCACCCTGTTTTCATTCCCGTCGTGGTATTTCTCGCTATCTGATGCGTCTCGCCCGCTCTATTTACTGTCCATGCGCCGTCACCAGAATACAGGTGCCCTGAGAACAGGAACCTTGATCGGAGGAGGGGCCGCACATAGTAGGTGCTTAATAAATGTGCTGACTGAAAAGGAGGGCTTGGGGTTCACATCGAGGGGCCCTGTCGAAAGCCCTGGCCAGTCAGTTGTACGTTTTGCATTTTAGTTGTGTTCTAGCCAGTTTCTCATGTTTATGCCGTGTGAGACCTGCATACACAGCCAGTGCCAAAGCAAACCTTAAGGAAAGCGTACAGCAGCATTTTGGGTCCGGGAGCTCTTTCCATGCTCACCAATTCTTGAGGACCCCGAAGAGGTCTCTCACCCCTCCCCTCTGAAATCAATAAAAACATGTTAAAATAAAGAAAATGGTCAAAGGAAAGGTAATTGGGTACAGAAACGCACGGGAGACTGGTAAGCAGCGTCTGAATGGTGCACAGCGGTGGGGGTGGGGGTGAGGGTGGGGGTGCAGCGTGGCCGAGTCCTTGGTTCCTGACACCAGTGCTTGGCAGGGCCTAGTGGAAGGGCAGTGGCGATGCCCCCATCGCCGACAGTCGGACTCTAGCGCCCAGCCAGGCGGCTTCTTTGTAATGAAACGCAGAAGGCTCCTTCGTGTCAGTGAAAACCCGCGGGCCTGGGTCTCAGGTCCGTCTGCGGGCTCGGCGTCCAGGGAGGCCCTGAGTTCCTGCCTGGCCTCCGCCGGGGAGGACGGCGGTACCTTAGGCGACTTCTCGGTTAATGAAAGGCTTCTAATTTAGTCTTCTTTCAGGAGCTGCTAACTTTTAAATTCTGAATCATATGTAGGCGAAAGTGGAGCTTTTCTTTTTCTTTTTAGAAAAATGAATATAATGCAATTAGTTAAGTGTGTGCGGGAGAAATAGATGGGAAAAATTATAAGTGAGGTTTCTGCCGCAGTCGAAGCTTTTAGCAAAAGAAAAAAAAATCCTAAACTTGACTTGAGCTGCTTAGAACGAAGCAAACAGACTTCTTGTTCAGTGAGCTGTGCTCTCGCCGTCTTAGCCCCAGCGCGGAAGGGCTTCTCAGAGCTGAATGATCGTCCCTTCGAACAGGCTCCCTCCGCAGGGCCCGGGTGACGCTGGAAGAGGGGGTGGAGCTGGCCAGGCTGTGGGGCCTGTGGTTTGGGGGCCGACAAGCAGTAAGCATCATCCCTTCATGGCTCACCCTCCTTCCAGACACCAAGAGTGGCCACCTCTCCCGAGGGCCTGGTGCCCTGCAGTCAGGTGACAGGGTGAGGGGAGACCAGGAGCAGGTCCCTCTGCTGTGTTGCGCCTGGACTCCTCTGAGACTAAGGCTCAGGGGAGGGCGAGCCTGGAAGGAGAGAGGTGGCACCTGGACAAGGCCGGTCCGAGTACACACCTGCCCCCTGCACTCCCCCCGCCCAGCGCACACCTGCCCCCTGCACT